GGAGACGACCTCTGGCCACGACAACGCAGTTGCGCCGTCGTCGAGGGAAACAGACTGCCCCCAAGCGCGTTGGATATGAACTACCTCGTCTCGGATAGCGAGTTTTGGGTGTGATCTTCGACTTTGTCGGCGCAGTCATGGACGAAGACAACGTCCTCACGGTGATTGGAAACTCTACAGGGCACATCAAAGCTTGCATCGAAATTTTTGGTCTACATTCTTCCGTGCACTGCGCCTCCTACGGGTGGCATCCGCAGCAGCTGAGCGCGGGTGAGTATGTGGCTGTCGTCAGTCGAGAGGTGAGTGCTAATTTGGATTTGATGTCAGAAGCTCGTCGGAGACCCCGACCGACACAAGAGCACAAAGTCGCTCCCGACGAAGATGACGACTTGGGAGCGAGGGCTGAGTTTGTGGACGTGGGCGAGGTGGAAGACCGATCCGATCTCGATGTGGACAATTGCCCGATCAAACCTGAAGTCCAGTACCAACCTCGCCTGCGCGTGGACCAAAAAGATGTCTTGGGCTTGGCGCACAGATTGAATGTGAAAACCAGCGGTCCAGGCAGAACCAGTTCCAGCACCAAGCGTTCGGCTGAGTTCGTGAAGCAATATGCTACGAAATATGAGGAACTACAGCAGCCACGCTCTTGTCTGCGCGGGCGTGAAATCGATTCGAAGACGTCTACCACCCAAGAAGTGTTGAGTGGCCTGCAACAGCAAAAAGCGCTCCAGGAGTCTCGCAAGGATGCGGAACTGGGTCAAGCGCACGACACAGACGATGAATGCGTTGGACACATCTCTACACGAGACGTTGAGGCCGGCTTGGCCCCTGTGGCAGCGGTGTTAACTTTGTCTCCGGCTGAGAAAGCTTTGCAGCTGGTGCAGCAGAAGCTACCTGTGCTTCAGTCCACTCACCAAGACGGAGCAGAGTATGCAATCTCTCCAGATCAGTACAATGCTGTGATCCTCGCCATCGCGCCCTTACAGCGCCTGTGGAACAAAGCCAACGAAGCTGGACTGGCTCACTGCTTCGGAGATCGCACTCGACTTGACCCGTTGTTGGCTTTGGTTGAGAAGGATTACGGAGTCCAAGATTTCGCGTGTCCACGCGCTTCCATCGACGAAACTAAACGTCTAATGGCATAAACATCGCTTGTAGCAAGGATACATGATTTTTGTATTTTGCATAGAGAATGTAGGACTTCATTTGCGCAATGATCACACCGGGTTGGCGAAATATGGATTTTAGAGTGGCTTGTTGCGTGTTCCTTTTGCTTGTGCGCCCACGTAGGACATGGTGGCGCGTATTTTTGTGCATGGACCTGGAGGGAGCGGCAAAACTTTCATGCTGAAAGAAGTCGAAAGAAGTCATCCTCCCGGTCTACAACGAGTTTCTACCTGGGACCACCCGAGGGGTCGCTGCCCAAAACTCTGCCGCTCGACTCATAGGAGGAAGCACGTTCCACCATATGGCTGGTCTCACACGGGCGCAAGAGCTGTTGCTGCAAAAGCCCTCTAAGACCAAGAAGGAGGCTTTGCAGCGTAAGTGGTGGCGGCTTTCGCTGGTCTTTGTTGATGAGATTAGCTTGACTGCACCGAATTTGTTGGCAGTGCTACACGGATCGGCCTGCTATGGTCGTTTGGACCTGTCTCCGGAGGGTTTTCTGAGTAACATTTTCGGCAATGTCTTGTGTCAGATTTTGGCTGGTGACTTCCTGCAGCTGAACCCCGTGCGAGCCAGATCCCTCATGGAAGCCTTCGGCATTGAAGTTCCGGGGGTGCCTCGATACGAGAAGATGGACGACCAACAGCGCAGGAAGAAAGTCGACATCGATGAACATGGACTTGCAGTCTTTCGCGCCTTTCTGAAACAGGTCATCTTGTTCAGAGGCTCTCACCGCTTTCGGAAAGGAGATCCGTTGGCCGAGCTCTTGGAGACGATGCGAGTGGTCGGAGGTCGTCCCTTGTCTACAGCTCTGAAGGAGGCCATTCGCAAGCAGGTGTATCGCCCGCTGGGAGGCGATCCTCGTCTGAGCAGCGATTACACCATGGCTTCAGGTTCCACTGCGCCCACCGGTCCTCCAGGTTTCTTCGCGCGCGGTGTCTTCAGCGCAGTGAACTGGGACCAGGTAGCTCGTCTCCAGCAGTTGTGCGCATACGAGTCTGCTCGCGCAAGCTTTGGCGTTGCAGCTTTCCGCAACACCCAGACTGGACGTCCCCAGCTGATTCGTCGACACTTTCCGACGTATCTTTCGAAGTCCTTTCAGTCTCGCTTCGGAGCGGTCTTCGCCAAGCAGGAATCCTTCTTGACGTCGTTGCTACATGACAAAGGTCGTCTGCTCTACTACGTTCAAGCAGTGGATTTGGTGCATCAAAGTGGGTTCACCAACGACAAATCCATTCTGCGCGAGATTCTGGGCTTGACCAACATGGCAAGTAAAACTGGCAACCTCATGTCGTTTCTACCGCTGCACTTGGGCTTGAAGGTGAAGGTGACGAAGAAACTTTTACCACCAGAAATCGTGCAAGAGTGTCCGGCCGAGGTGATCGCCATTCAATTTCATCCCAACGAACGCTTTGGCGTGCCTGGCGCGCCCGCTGGTGGTGGAGTCCCCGCGCGGTCGCATCCGTGCTGGGAGACTGGATATGTTCGCCTGGACTATCTCCCTGCCTCGATTACCTTGCGTATTGAGGCCTGGGCCTGCAGCTAAATATAATCTGAACGTCATTTATACGCGGATATGACTGAAGACAGGTGTCCTGCACAGTTTGTGACCATCGTTTTTTTTGGACAGTTTAATCTAACATTCTGTAGGACCCATACATCTCTGAGTCACACCTGACTTGCAACAGGATCAGCAAGAAGATTATACCGGACAGCTTCTGCCTGGAGTGTGGCATTTAGAACCGAGTGAAGATTCTTTCCGCGTGCAATTGCATCGCAAAGGAGCCTTGATGTTGGATGTTACTCGGATACAGTATCCTCTTGCTCCGCTGGCTGCTGGAACCTACAACAATGCCCAAGGCAAGACCATCAAAGGAGTTGGGCACACGATTGATTTTTCGAAGCCAGATTATTTTTCGGCAGACGATTATACGCAGCACTTGTACATGATTCTTGGACGCGCTCAAGCTCTCGAGTATTCCTTATTTCGCAATTTGCCGGAGACGCCAGAAGGCGATATTGATTTTTCGATCTTTGAGACTGGTCCACCTGCGTATATTGCCGAGTTTTTTGGATCGACTGGAGGACTCTGATGTGCTTGTTGGCTTGTTTAATGTGCTATATTGGATATCCGCGGATTGATTCACCCTGCTCGAGTGATAAGATATGAAATAGCATTCCATCCGCAGGCGCGTGTGTCGATCTTGTATCGTTGTTCGCAGGAGGTTGCGCTTTTGTCTCGCTCCGCCATCGAAGAAGCTCGCAGACATCTGCCTGGTTTTCCAGCCGCGGAACACCTACCGCGACCGGCCCGCAGAACACCAGAGGGTCGCTTTCAGTACGTCCCAGGGGCTTGGACGGCGGCTACGAAGGCGAGCGTAGTGACTGAGTTCAGGGGAACCAAAAGGAAGTACGACCCCACCAAGTGGCGTCAGCTGCGAACGGATTTCTGCGACATCTGGTCTCTTTCGCTGGAAGAGGTGGCCACTCCCACGGCACAATTTTTCCGAGAACACGGGGCTCTGCGTGTCTTTGCCGCCGAAGCTGGTGGAGGCGGCGATTGCTTCTTCTTGTCCACTGCGGTCGTCCTGATGCAGGCGCGAGCAGTCCACCCACGACTCTTGAATCTTTTCACTTCCGATGAGGTGGCTGACTGGGACGACCGAATTACGGTCGCGGCTGCTCTCCGCAAGATTGTCGGGCGACACATGCGCGCCAAGACGCCAAAAGCATTCTTGAACTTCGTCGTGGGGTGTTTGGTGCGCGAAGCTGCGAGGACATGGCTGGATCGCACTCTTGCGTGGCTCTCCTTTTGCTTTCTTGAAAGACGCCAACGATGTTCTCGGAGCAGAAGTTGCAGACGACGCCATGCTAGTTCGCTACAAAGAGGGCGACAGCTCCGTGACGAGGAGCAAGAGAGTGCGTTCTGGCACTGCGGCCCTGGTGTCTTTGCAGGATGCCGTGAGCACTGCTCTCGAAGCTTGTGGGAATACTCATTGGGCAACAGACGTCGACTTTGTTGCGTTGGCCACGGAGCTCAATCTTGGCTTCATCATTGCTGGAAATACTTGGACCCAGACGTCTGTTGTTCGAGGCTCCGGTGACACATCTAACAAACGTGTGTGCGATATATCCATACGAATGTTGGACCTATAGGATAGTTTTCTTCACTTCCGTTGTGTGTGTGTCTCATATACTTCTTGTCGATGCAGGCGAACCACAACAACGCACGGTCTTGCACTCCTATTTACAAGAAGATCAGACGCCGCAATTGTGGATTTCTCTGTATTATATGGACGGTTATCACTTTCAAGTGCTTATTTTCGAGATTTTGGGACAATGCCATTGTTTCTTTCGTGCCGCGGATCTGCCAGACCCTTTACGCCAGTGCTTGATTTGAATGCAAAACAAAAATCCTTCATGATGAAGACAGAGCGTGGTGGTGAAGTCCCCAGCGCATGCTGCCTTGGTGGTGGAGTCCCCAGCGCATGATGTCCAACAACGTGTCAGAGAGTGAAAAAGAGATTCCCACCGGCTGTGTCTCTTTTTATACACAGTGGTTTGACGTATGTGTTTGCATTCGGGTTCGTGGGCTCCATCTTGTTTGCCCAACCTTCCAGAGAACATCCCCTTGACCATGTCCGTGCAGTTGGACAGAATGGGATCACAAGAGTTTCATCACCAACTCCATGAGTTTCATCGCTTCACACAGGACATGGGAACGTTTCTAGTGATGACTTCCTTCTCTCTTTTCACATCCCGTCGAATACAAACGCATCGCTAGTGAGGGAAGTAGGGGGCGATTGGACGGTGGGTCTCTGTGGCCTGCGCCTCAGGCGACTCGACCTTCGAATTGGTGGCTTCCCTCAAGGACGATGACCAGGGCAAGGCCGAGTCGTTGGCAAAGCGCGTCGTCGGCAAAGCGTTGCGTTGCGCGTGGGAGAAGTCGAGAGAAGGTTGTCCGAAGGGTCTAGGATCTCAAACTTCTGGATCTTGAGATCTCCACCACATGTCTTGCACTCAAAGATACAAGATGCATAAGACATGTATTGACTGATAGAAAAGGATAAATTGTTTGTAGAGGAAGCTAGTCATTCAAGAGGTCATGTTCCACCTCCGTGTCTAAAGACAGGTGGACCAAGAATTCCTTAGATCTTTGGACTTGCTAGGTAGAACGGCTGACGGGCGGATTTCTCTGAGTCTGTTCATGAGGATCCTCGAAACAAGATGAGGCCTGCACTCCAAACCTGTAAGCTGGAGCTTTTTCACTGGCTCCTGCGCGCTCCAGCATCAACCATGGTCGACGCTTCGTCCGTCCGTTCTGTTTGCGAGGCTCCCTTCCGCTCCATCAGCAAGAAGTATTGCACGGACCTGGAGCATCTGCTTCAAACCCTCAGCACTTGCCAACTGCACTACATTCGTCTCCTGGCGCAGCGATTTGCTCACGTCTCACGGAAAAAGGCGGGTTAGACACCAGCCGGGGGGTCTGCCGCATGCACGCTGCCAGCCACGCTGGGCAGTATCAAGGAACTTGCTTGTCAATTGCAAAAACAAAACAATCTCATACCCTAGCGATCCAAGTAGCTCCTCAGAAGGTATTTGAACCCTCCAAACCCAGCCCAAACACCTTCTCAGAAGGTACTTGGATCCCTACAAATAGTATAAGTTGTTGTCTTCCATTGCCTCGTGGCTGGTGCCGAATGAGGTTGCTTCAAGCCGAACGACTTTCAGCAAGCGGCCGTTTTCGACGAACAGCTGGTGCTCGATCAGATTGTTCAGTCCGAACCTTAGAGGCTTAGTGAGCTGTCACCTTGGCAGCAGTGGTTGGATCATTTCCTCCAAAGAACCGAGAACGATGTGCCGGCACAGGTCATATGAATTCATATGTTCCTCTTATTTAAAATAAGTATATTTCTCTTGAGTTCATGCAAGGTGGATGAGGATGCAACAGGGATTCAGGTTCCGAGCAATTCCATCCATCTTCATGCCATAGACCTTGAAGTCAAATGAGCTCACAGGACATTCCCACATCAACAAACTCAGACGGATAGAAAACAGTACGCTCTGTACGAATCCATTGTAAGCTCTGGAAAGGCCACAGGGACATTTGAAACATTCCCTTCAGAGTCATCCAACTCAGAAACCCTCAAAACCGAAACCGGATGAGTCCTTGAGGACTCGCGGATCTCGCGGGCGATAATGTCTCTCAGTCTCGCGGAACTAGTCTCACTTGGATTTTCAGATGTTCTGAACTGACCGTTCGGCTGCAGCTCAGTCCTTTGGCTCAGCTGCTTTCCCACTTCCAAGTGGGTCTCTGTCGTCACGGTTACTTTGGTTATACTCCGACTGACGTTCCATGGGGAAAGCGGTCTACTACGGAACCATTTTCCACTTTCCATGTCATGTTTTCGTGGGAGTCCTTGCCCAATGTTTTCTCCAATGGGAGGCTCCATTTCCGGGCTCCATTCTGGGCCGCAAAACTAGTACCTGGAATTCATGTGTGTTTTTTCCCTCACGTGAGAAGAAGAAGAAGAAGAAGAAGAAGAAGAAGAAGAAGAAGAAGAAGAAGAGGAAGAGGAAGAAGAAGAAGAAGATCTTTGGGGATGTTTCCCGGGTCTGGGGATCTTTCCTCGATCGAGGTGTGGCACCGTCGAGCTGGTGAAGATCATGCACGATGGCTATCCCAACCGCTGTCGATTCCAGGAAATGCTGCGCTTTCGTGGCTCGGAGCTCGGAGGATTTTTTTGGGAGGAAAGGGTTTTAGAAGGCCCAGAAAGGGCACCTGAAGTGGAGATCTTTTCTTGATTCCCTCCCCAGTTCGGGTCTTTTGGCACCATTCTCGCATGATTCTTGGAGAAGGGGCTTTGGGGGTGGAAATCTCATATGTCTTTTTTGGGGCACCTTGCCAAGCGCAATGGAAGTTCTCCACCTTCCGCCCAGTGGGAGGGACATCCGATGTAGACATTGTTATGATTCCTCCGTTTTGACACATTTTGGCGACATGTTGCCGCAAGGAACTCAGCCTCGAAAAACGACACAGTACTACGCCCCAATCCAGTCAGTGGATCTACCACTTCCCAGTGAGTGAGGTCCATCCACCACCTCCCATGGTTTCGACCAAACCCTTCCCTCTGGGGTAGCGGTGGATTCCCGCTCCCATGCGGCTCCCACGCGTAGCCGAGTCCGAGGCGATCTGCTGCCCGAGAGCTTCCAGCGTTACGGCACCCGAACCTTCATCGAAGCCCTGCTCTTGGCCTACAATGTGCCCAAGGAGGCACCCCTTCATCGCCCTGCTCGTGTCGTGTCGATGAGGGTTTTTTTCGGAACCAAACTCACTGTGCTGCGTCGGTTTTTGTCGTTGAAATAAGGAAGGAAGCTAGAGAAGACTCTAGTCTGCCGTGAAGGTATCAGTTGTTCCATGATGTTCCATTCACAGATGCTGGGCTAGTCTCCTTTGCAGAACTTTGCTGGGTATGGAACTAAGAGCTTGAGTAGAATGCATTAATGGCTGGATTGAGAGTGGCAGAAAAGTCAGCCCGCCCTAACGATGGTGCAAGCTCCCGGAAGATCTGAAAGGAGTCAGTGCAAGTCAGACTGATATTTGGCTTACCCGCCCTGGTATGTGCGAGAGATGCCAACCGTAGCCAGGCACATCTCCCAAGATCATCTAACACCAACCAAACCTACCGAAGCAGGTCATCTCTTCCGTCGACTCAAAACCAATATTTGTTCAAGCACCGAATATCTGTGCTCCACGCGCTCTCACCGTGCGCTTCCACCCGTCTCACCGCTCTCACCGCGTGAGGGGCCCGAAGTTCCGGGGTTTGGGCAGATTTCGACGGCGTTTCTGGAGGATTGGGCTTTGGGCACGTCGAGGCTGTTCCTCCGTGCTGGGCAGCTGAAGGCCTTGGAAGACTTGAGAAGTGCAGGCCGCCCGAGCGGCCCTTGCTACTGTTCCTCCCGTCCGAGGTAAGACGAGTGAGACGTCTGAGACGGGGTGAGACGTGTGTACTTGGTTTTGGGTTGGTCTTGGGGGATGGTTTTTGGACGTCTCGATCGTGCAAAGTGAGTGAAGCCCAGAGGTCCGTCACCAAGGGATCACGGGATCATTGTTGCACCTGGTGTAGTTAGGCTTTGGACAAGGCCGAGACCTAATGTATGGATACAGATGTAATCCCATGTTCCTACAAGGGAAGCTCCACATCAAAGCTGAGCATTGACCGACGATTGCCGTGTTTAGTGCTAAGGATAGGAAGGAAGTGGCTTCCGTTTTTTCGTGCCATCAGTTCAGATAAGCTGTCCTGCTACCTTTACATACCTTTACTATGTATCTACACATCTGAGAACTCTCTCTTCTTCTCCATGGCTTTTGAGCCGTGACCTTTGACCATCTTGACCGCCAGAATTCACATGACGCCCAAACCGGGCCAAGACGCAGTCCAAACATCGAAGAGGGGTGCGATCTCTTTCTACTCGGCTGTGTGTGCGACCTGGGTCACACTGTGTGCGTGTGCGGGTAAGTCATGCCGGTCATGACCGCGTGTGAGTCTAACGAATGTCAAAGGAAGCACCACTGTTTGGACCTGGAAGAGGCGCTTTTCCCTGCCTTTGTGAAGCCACACCATCCTGACCATAAATATACACCCAACACTGATATACCAGGTGAAGCCAAAATCACAAGGTGAAGCCACAATCATCCTGTTTTCTTGTGACTCCACACCTGACCTTCTTCTCACCACCCTTCCACGAACCCGAAGGCGCTGCGCCGGATCCGGTGCGGCTGCAGCAGATCGTGCGGCGCATCATCCGCGCGAAGTGGCTCCGCGCGGCGCATGCGGTGCGGCTGTGCCTCTATGTGCCGAGGCGAGCCTTCCAGCAAGGGGGGTGGAGGATGTGGAGGGAGGCATGAGAACACTTGGCCTTGAGCGGAATAATCCGATATGTTGCGTGGATCACTTAGAACACCAAGAGTCCAAGAGCTAGTATTATCACCACACATGAATTCGATGCCACGCCAGCCTGCGACCGCACGCCGCCGAGGTTCCTGTCTGCCGTCCGTGCCAAGCGTGCGGAAGAGACGCTGGCGACCCGAGCCCTGCTGATGGGGCGGCTTCGCCTGCAGCTGGACCGCGCGAGGCGCTGCGGGTTGGTTGCGGACTGAGGACTGGAGAAACGAAATGAAATAGAAGAGACTGCAGGAAACCTGTCAAACACCCCCCACGGATGGGTCAAGTGGATGAAACAGTTAGTGGGTCGGGGTTTGTCTCGTCTCTTGCATGCCTGCTGTAGCAATCGTGACAAAGACTCAAACATTTGCAGCATTTGCATGCATGATGTCCTGACCATTCTGACATACTAGCAGAGTCTGCAACTGTTTGGTGGCAGAATTGTATGCCACAGGTGCCGGCTGCGTGAGAAGCACCGGCGCGCGCTGCGGCGATGGCGCGTGGCCATGCACGTGGTGAGATTGACCGGAAGTTGGATGGCGCAGGCGCTACGACTCTGGGAGTTGCGCACGGCCCAGACCCGGAAGTTGCGAAGGTGTCGAGTTGTGAAGGGTCCAGATGCTTGGGCGAAACAAAAAGCGATTCGAAGCTGGATCGGATGAAGCATCCAAATCAGCATGGATCGGATGAACATGGTCTGCAAACAGCCCGTCCTCTTTCAACCTTTGGTTTATGTCCATCTCCATTTCGATGCTTGGAAGTTCCCCAGCTTGGGGTGGGACAAGACCGCCAAGGCAGAGATAGCGGACTTCAGATACTGACTAGAGAACTGTGTGATGATGTAGCCCCTATTCAGAAGGATCCACTGGCGTCGGAGTTTTGTCCTGGAATGCCCAACGCCCCACGGATCTCAGCGCACCGAACGGTCCTCACTCCCGTCACGGCCAGGCACAGGCTCGCCGTCTGCAGAAAGCCATGCGGAAGTTCTGGCGGCTGCGCACCAGGCGAGACGCGGAAGACGACGAGGGAAGGTGGAGGCGACTGACAAAGATCCGAGGGCCGATGGATTCCCGAAACCAATCTAAAACCATCTAAATCCAATATCCACTGACGATTTACAGGTTGGAGGCCAATGGCTACTAGGTTGGAGGCCATCGCTCTTAGGTTCCTTCTGCTATTAGTCAACTCACAAGCGATGCGGGAAGGCTTCCCGAATGGGTGGCCTTGAAAGCGGAGGAGGCCGGTGTGGGGCGGTCGAGACCCATCAGGTTCTGTTCAGCCACAGGACGGGATCACCATGTTAGCCCATGCTGTCAGCCCATGCTGTTTGGGTGTCAGAGGTTCACAAAGAACACATTTTGTCTCATGCAAACTCTGCAACATTTACAATCACTTCCGCCAAAGGTTTATTGAAAAACAGCAATGAGGACCCCAAACCAGAGCTTTGACACCCTCCACCAAGGCAGAACACTTACAACCAATATATATTTATATGTCTTGTTACGTACATGCAAGTCACAATTTGTCCTACCGGGTTACCGGCAACAGAGCAGTGGATGTATAAATGCTGCTGGCTGGTGTTTGCCAGCGGAGGAAGAGGCCAGTGCTATGTGTATTCCAAGTAAGTCTTGTTGGTGTAACGTGAAGTGCAAGCGCTGCCAATCAGTCAAATGGAGCACTTCAGAGTGTTTCTTGGCCCAATGGTCGCACACTGAGAGCGCCCTTTCCTAGGCAAGACTGGAAGAGGAACGCAGAAGGGCAGAAGAAGAGGTCCGC